CCAGACACAACTGCATGGCAGCTAGGGAAAAAAAGAAAAAAAAACATTATTAAAAGACTATAAAGATGGAATTTTGTTCCTGACTCCAAGGCTGTTCTGAAAAGGGCAAAGGATTTACAGCTCATGCCTTGTTCACAACTCTTGATTTCTTCCGCAGCCTACTACTTCCCAACACCTCTGTTAATCCCTTATGTCCTCCCCTCACCCATTCCCACAACCCTTTTCTCCTCCATATGCCAACATCTTACCTGTGCCACACACAGGTTCCTCTCCCTCCCCCCTTTCTTTCCACAACGCTCTAGTGATGTACTTTCTCACTATTTCTCACCATCTACAATCTTACTCTGCACATGTCAAACCAGCCACAGTGTTTAACACAAAATGGAGATACCTGACTACGCAGGGGATGACCGGGTGAAGGAAATCAGTTTGGTACATGAGTGCTCTCCATGGTGAGCCGAAGGACCCTTGTGCTGTGGCAGATCACTGAGCATAAAGTATGGCTGAAAAGCTTCATAGGACACTGGTCTTTGGAGCTCCTTGAAGGGAAAAAAGCTGAAAAGTACATGAGGTGTCCATGAAAACAAGGAAAAATGGCATGGAGCACGTGGGAAGGATGCACATAGGAAAGCACCAGATGGCTGGGAAGCAAGAGTGGCCACTTGTACAGAATCAGGAAATCATTGCTTTCCCACCCTTGAAAGGCTGATCACAATCTAGGTAATTTCACCTATTGCAGACTTGCTGTTTTCCATCACTGATTTGTAGGGTTTTCTGGAGTAGAACAAATGCTTTCTGTTGAATGAGTTTAGGATAGTATCCACAGAAATAAGATTCTCTTGTTGAGTTTGCTGTGTCTAAACTTCACTGAATTTCATTATGAAACACCTATTTAAACAAAAGCCTTTCACTGATTTTTATTGACGTGTAAAGGAAGTTCGCTACTTTCCTCCTGAGATTAATAAAACAAGTTTGGCTCCCCTGCAAATTGCTGGAATGTCAGTGCACTGGCAGGGGGGATACGGATGGGACACAAACCCCACAGATTCTTAGCAGATTTAGGATCCTTTCTCATACCTAAAGGATTTATTATGTAGTTAAAAAAGATTTCTCTTTAGGATGTGATCCATGTTCAATAGTTGGGACAGGAGAAGAAAATATTAGTCCCAGAAGGGGGAGGGAGGGTCAGAACATTAGAGGTAAGTAAAAGCCAGCACACCAGCCATACTTAGAAAGGGCTGCTATAGACTGTACCAAACCCACATCATCTGCAAACCAAGTGTTTGCCACATGATCCGGAAAAGTTATTGCACATGTTCAGAATAAGTCACTTGTATAAAGCCAGAGCATTCAGTTAAGTCAATAACAAAGGGTGTAATAAATATTTGACAATTAAAGGAGCGATAAGAACATTCTTCAGAAATGAAAAACAAGCACCTCTACATCCAACTGTTCCTCAAGATGTATGGCTAAAGCACAGGGAAGGCTCTATTACAAAATGTAAAATGGAGGAAGGGACTATTCCCAGTGCACTTCAGGTTTAAAGCTTTTGGGCCAGACACTTGCTTTTACTTCCTGTAAAATAATTAGCAAGCAAAAAGTCAAATCAAATTAGACAATCTTTATGCAAATCATGGCTCAACTGATGTCAAAGGACTATTAAAGATGATTTGTACCTGTAAACACTTATGCAGTTCTCCTATATCTGATCCAGTCTTGTGATCTAACAGTCTCAAGGAAGAGCAACAAACACAATGTACAGTTGAGGAAGATCCGCATCTCAGGTCTACAGGGATTTAGTTATCTGTTCAGTAATATTTGGCAGGAACCAAAGGGTTCCAATTACACCTTTCTGGTTTTAGTACAGTAGAATCTTGTGTACTAGCTCCACATAAATCCTTTCAGTTAGCAAAACAAGGAGGCATACTGTTCAGGGCCCAATAAATGGGGTTGAAATACCATAACAGCTTCCTTTTAAGGGGTAGTTCCCACTTCTGGCGTGTTTTGCAATGCTGTTCAGATACATTACTTAACCGCTCAAACATCCTCACTGGGCATTGTACAAATGCAGGAAAAGAGGAAGAAAGGGTTATGTTCTGAATTATTATTTTTTGCTGCACTTCTCCAAGTAACTTAAGGCTACTTGAAGTTAATACAAATATACAAATGAATGAATACTTTCTCAAGCTCGTGTATTGCATAGCAGTTAAAATATCTTGGGACCACAGTAAAACAAAATACACAGTGTTTGAAATTAATAGTATTCTGCAATTAGACTGTTTTACTAAGGAAGCAAAACTCATGCAAATATACTGCCTACATGCATTCCATGAAAATCTGTAGATATTCAAGAGTCTGGGGAAAAAAAAATACGCATAGTTGGCCAATTTTCAAAGCAGATTTGGGAGGTGTGCAGAAGTTACTGGAAGGTGACCCAACAGGATATGAACTCACATGGTTGTTTTCTATGAGGATTCCGATTTGAAATACGGGCTGAGCTAACTGAACCTGGAACGTAAGTCAAAGCGGCCATCAGATATCCACTGGGAACCCAAACTTCAATCGTTCCAGAACCTGTGAAGCTATTTCTTCTTCCTCATAACAGGCAGTTCCCTAGAAAGCAAGTTTCTTGTCAATTAGAGCATGCTTCCATATGCATTTATCAGTGTGCAACAAGTGACAAAAGCTAGAAAGATACAGCTTAAAAATCTGTATATAGTTTGATCAATAGCTTGTTTTATTATTTAGTATATGAAACTAAACAGTCGAGGTTTTAAGGCAGCAGAGAAAGAAAAAACTATTTCAGTATTTCTCATTCTTTTTCCTAAACTTTTGCATCTAAAGCCCACACCTTAAAAGACAATATCGTTCTAATTACTGCTATATGATAATATGAATGTAAGTTTTCTTGTGATCAGCGTTTTAGGCTCATGGTGTGTGTCCAACTACGTGTCCCTTCGCACTGGAAGGAATAAAGGCAGCAGAACACGTTTGAATCCAACAGTAGTTTATTACCCACTCATTGCAATGAAGTTAGACACTTCAGTTACCAGTCAATACGAGTTTAAATATTAGTTGACAACTGCAGAAAGTGTACAATGAGTACAAAGTCATTAACAATAATATAACAAAAAGTTCCAATGTATTAATTTTTAAAACATCAGTTGTACAATATTATACAGCAACCGTTATATGATCCTCAACTAACTCAGGGCTTGCATTTGAAAGTTGTTTTTTTGTTTTTTTGTTTTTTTTTTTTTTTTAGAAGTTCTCCAAGAGGATGAGAGACTGGGGGTTAAAACTGCATTGTTGCCCAAAATACTAACATACAGCCTTACCTTATAGAGACAAAGCTTTTTTTATATTTTATGAACACTTGCTTTTATCAGGGAATGCAGTAACAAGAAAAAATCTATACATAGAAAATTAAACTCTTAATACGCAATATATTATATATATATCTATATTGTACTACAGATTTCATATAAATCAAGTATAGGCCAAATTTTGGCATCATTTTTAAGTGCATTAAGTTTAATACAAAATCCCCCTCAGACTTTACTCTTACTTTTCAGGTTACTAGCTCCTGAACTGATCTTTTTTTCAGTTACAATACTTTAGACATCTAGAATTGTCTTAAGATCTAATTTCCATTTCAGGAATATCACCCTGTCTTTCATCACACTTTCTAACAAAAATATAGTTGTGGGAAAAACTTAGTGACTAATTTAGTCAAAGTTTAGTGACTAATAAAATTCTCTAACTTGATAGGACTTTTTATTTACATTTACTGGTCAGTATCTTCAAGGTAGTATTCGTCTATGTATCCTCTATTCTTCTTTGATCCTCAGGAACAGTTACTAATTATACACTGCAAGCACGTATTGCTTTGCTTCGTTTTGTTAAATGGACTCTTACCAACATGCAAATTATTTCTGGTGTAGAATGGAGTGCAGAGAAATTTTTCTAATGCATAGTTAAATTTGCTTTGACTCCAGCATGTGACAGTCGCTTTTTAGAGAACACCTAAAGAGCTATATCCTCCCTGCCACACAATGTCACATTTTGTTTCCAAATTAAGCTTTGTTTGCCTTTGTTTCAAGAAGTATTATAGGAAGAAAATTAGATTGTTGACCCAACTAATCTATCAATTTGACAAATATGGTATTTACAGTACATTTTAAAATAGGATTATGTATTTTTGCTGAAACAAAAAGGACACTTAAGCTTTCCACTGGGATAAAGTTCTGGCATGAAGTCACTCAGTGAGACTTCCTCCCACAAAAAAGTCAAAGTCTCCTCAAAGTCATTTGTAGAATATAGAAATAAATTGTATCACCTAGAAGCATTCCACATTAGTCAAAAAAACCACCCAAGAATCAGTTACAGTAAGTTGAGTCACGATACCCCAAGAAATCAATTCTCCTGCCATCATTTAATCTACTGACATTGTTCTGGGATCTCACCATTCAGCACAATTATGGTACAGAGGGGAAGCATCGATTAGGTGTTGCAAATGCACAGCCAGTTCCAGCTCCTAAGAAGCAGCTTCCAAGTTAAGCCCTTTAAAAGTCTTGTAAAAACCGGGCTAAGTATGATTTTAAAGAGAACAATCTCCCAGACCTCTAAAGCAAGGACATGACATTTACACCTTTGAAGGTAAGTCACTTCACACACGCCAATGCCTGTACGCGTGTCAGAGCATGGACGAGACCTGCAGGGTTCATTCTCAACATCACATGGAAGAAAGTAGGTGCAGAACTCCCAGTAAAGTTAACAAGAGTTGGACAGCAATGCCCCTTCATACCACTGAATTATTAAATCTTATGTATTGTGTGTGGAAAAAAAAAAAATCTCAATTTTGTTTTGAGAAAGCAAATACTGAAATAGAAACAACTTTTAGCACAACAGATGTATTTACTTACAGCATGCAAGGTTTGTTTTTATGTATCTGAGCAGCTAACAGCCACTAACAGCCCTTAAGTATTTACAAGTTCAAAATTACAATCTTCACATAAGTAGCAATTGCTTACAAAAAGTTCAGGACACTCCCTGGGAAATAAGCAAGAAATGGAGTAAAAAATACTGAAAGCAGTAATAAAAAACAGTGGCAAAGGAAAGGAAAACATAATAGCTTTTTAAATCCAGACAATTCAACACTGTTCTGGTAAAAAAAAAAAAAAAGCCACATACCACATTTAGAGATGCCATTTTAAAAGAAATGCATCTTTCTGTTTTTTTCAGGAGAAAAGCTGTACATAAGCTTAAAAAAAATTCCAAGTAAATAAGCAAAACACAACTCCCTCTGGTTTTCCAATTTACCTTAAAATAGCTTCTCCACCTCGCCTTCCCCCCCCCCCAATTTGCAAGGTAAATGGTAAGGCAAATGTGATCAGGGTCTGAAGAGGGTCACAGGTGATCACACAGGAGAAAGACGCTTCAACCCCAGTTCATGGTATGGGAAACCAAAGTAATAGCTTTTTTATAAACATGAAATTTTTTTCAAAATAATAGATTCTAACCCTTAGCCAAGATGCAACGCATACGTTCGTTCTGATTGAGGGCCAGGTCAGAAAAAAATCCTGCACCTATGTTTAAGGAAATCTAAGTCGAATTCAAGTTTTTTCAGCCTTGTGGAAAAAAAATTTGTGCCAAATTACACTCTGCGTGACTGTTAGTTTCAGGATTTACTTCATACAGTAATCAAACAAGACAAATTTAACTCATGGCTTTTTGTAGTTAATGCGTATTTGTGTCTGCTTCTGTAAAGTAGTAGTATTTATCTCTTCAGGACAATACAACCTGGAACTGAGGAAATTCACTAGCAGTGACATATGAGTATGTTTTTGCACCACTTCATGAAGGTTTTGTATTGTCCTTCTGAAAAGACATTTAACTACCTTTTAAAGCTATGCTACGTTTATTTATAAATAATTTGGTACCAGCTGATGCTCATACTAGAAACATTTCTCATGTTCAGCTCTAGGAATAGCTTAGGGCAAAGAAAGTGCTCCAGTTTTACCTGCTGTTTTCTTATGCCTGATTTGAAGGAATCTTAACGTATTATTAAACAAAAATATACTAAAATACAAATATTTAAGTTGGGTTTTTAAATTTTTGCATTTCTGTGATTCTTTATTCTATAACAGTATTCATATTGCATGACATTTTGTGCTAAACCGGCCTCTTGAGCCTAGCTCCTTATAAAACATGAAAATAGAACAGTAAAACTTTTTTCTTGTAAACTTCAGTAAATTAGTTGCAGTCAGAGATGGGGTTGTAAAGGTGCTGTATAAACATTCTGATACATATTTCCTGTGTTCTAGACTACGTGGTACATGGAACAAGTTACCCAATGTAATGTATAAAAATATAAAATATATATTTATGAGTAACATTAGAATAAGCTACAGTGTACTTTTCCTTAGCCTGTTGAAAGCCCTACCTGCATATGTTTTTTTTCACCCATTCTAGATCTTCCACGGTAGTCTGTATTTTCCATTAAGAGTGCAACAGAGCAAGCGCAGCTAGAAAAGACAGCTTTAAGAACACTCTTAGGCTGTAAACTTGGAAGTTCATAGAAGACAAACACGTACCTTAAAAAATAGTTTTGCCCACTTGTCTATTCTGTGCTAAATTTAAGCATTTTTTTTGCTATAAACTGTATATAACTAGAATGTTTAAGGAGAATATGCCTTAAATTTCAGAGAAAGTTATCCTATTATTTTCACAAGTCCTCAGATTAATTGAATATAATTGTAACTACACCGCTTGCTCAGGGCTTTAAGCGTAAGGCATTTTGTGTACATTCCCCCCAGCTATTTATTTAATGACTATTTTATTGTGCAAAGCCAAACCAGTGGAAATCCCTCCCTCAAAACCTTGGACACCCATTTACCTTTTACTGCACATTCAGCATGAAACTGCAAAGGAGGAACAGATAGAAAAATGCAATCCAGAAATATGCATTGAAACAAGCTAACCATGTTCTACTAGGTAAGGTCTTTTCAATGATAGAAGTTGTTTAACACTATCAGTTCTGTATACATCATTTTGAATACATTCATAGCCATGCATTCTGAATGCACCGAAGAAACATCAGACAAGTTAGCTTTTCACATCACCTAATGCCAGCGTACCGTAACTTTGACTGCTTTGAGGAAAGAGATATGAAGTTAAGTTTGTTAACTTACATATTAACAGTTTGGAGATATGAGCTCCAGTACAAAAAAACTTCCCATTCCAAATATTGTTTACAAAAAATGTAAGCTTTGTATTCTACCTAATGACTATACTTCCCAACCAAATTATGTTTTTCCTGAAAAAAGATGTACAATATAAAACTAAGTAATTCATGTCTGGCCAGACAGTAAGACAGCTCTTGCTGCAATATGGCAGTTCCTGACACGGGAAGAACAGATTAGGCAACACATTAACACAGACAAAATTAAATACAAGAGAGGCACGTGAAATTACAGCTGAAGGGTCACATTCTACTCATCACTGGAAAAAGGATCGTGAAAAGCTGAAAAGCACATAATAATTCAGTAAAATCTGGATACGCACAAACCATTTATGCATTGACCATACTGTCCTGACTGCTCACAGTCTGCCTATCAGAAAGATTAAAAATTTAATTTGAACATTATATTGTCTTATAGCTATCTAAATTGGGTAAAAGTGATTATCACCTTTAAATATAGTACGTTAATGCATAAAAATACATATTTTTTTTCTAGAATAAGGATTATATTTTCTTAGCAAGTATCTAAAAACAATGGTCCTTCTAAATTAGTTTGGAATAGTGAGATCCATTTCTTTGTAGAATGATGTGTTTTTATTGTTTCTATGTTTAGATAATTAATTTTGAATACCTGTCCCTTGTATAAACAATCTCCAGAAAAATATATCCTCTTCCAGTAACTTACAATATACATTAAAAATACTTACAAAAGGGATTATTGTCCATTTATAACATCTGGAGCTTAAGGACACAATTTTTGGGTCATTTCATTTATGCAATTTTGATCAGGCTAAACTGAATATTCCGGTTAACTTGAACCATGCCAGCAATGTGAACAATCTAACATTTAAAAATATCTGCCTAATTCTGTAGGATTTTAAATAAAATTAGGCATTTTTTACATCACAGTATATATGGCATTTCTTGATTTAGCAACAGAAAGGCACAGTTATTAAACCATAAAATACAGTACCTGAATCCTATCTACTCTAATGATATCTACCAATGCCAATCCAGACATTTTACTCTTGCAGAGGGGGCTAAAGAAAAAGGCTTCTGTTTGGTTTTTTTTTTAAAAATTCAACCTCATTACAAGTTTGGTCCCTTAGAAACGCCTATTAGCTGGAACATCTTGAAGCAGGACTCCAGGAAAGAAAAGAGGAAAGCAAATTTAGCAGTCTATGGTCCAACAGCTTGAATAAATTACTATGGAACAGCAAACAGATCATGAATGGAGCTTTCTGATTAGTTGTCAGACATACCTGTTAAAATGTCAATGTAGGTAAAGCGTCAGTGACAGGTACAGTACGACAGACATTCCAGATACATTCACGGCATCGCACCCACACACACACAGACTCTGTTACAGCAATGTCTAGACATAGCATTTAGAGAGTTCAGCACTTCTCGTGGACTGATATTTGACTTCTGGCCCCATACCATACACAAAGATGTGCAGTTCTTTAAATGCTTTGCCTGCTATGTATTGCTGTTAAAGTGAAGACCCTGCTAAAGCCAAGCTCACTGGCCTTCCCTTAGCAAACTAGTGCACCTCTTCAAAAAGCAACTAGCTCTGTTCTCCTTATTTAAAGTGACAAAACCGCATCAAGAAAGACCAATAAAATGGAAAAGGCAAGGAACAATAAACATGAGGGAGAACCCAACCGTTCCATACGTAATATAGCGGTAAGGAAGCTCAACTTCCATGCGTTGTCTTGCTTTCCGTACATCATCATGTGGTATGCGAAATATTTTACATGCCAGTGGAATAGTGGCTTTTTTCATTGCTACTTTTGTTAACAACAGAACTATTACTCCAATCAACAACCGCAATATGGCTTTTCCAAACACAGTCACAGTCAGAGAGGAAAGAGATAAAGGTAACACATTAGGAGGAGGATCTAGCTTTAGACCCATTATGTGGTTAACGTGAGAGCCACAGGCTACTCCAGCCCCACAGCCCAGGATCTGAGCTGTGTCTCCTCGCGATGTGCTCCAGGTGTCTAGAGTAAAAGAGAAGATGCCCAGGGCTAAATGGAGACTGATGATAATTAAGGGTGCATATTTGTAAGTTAGGTTGAAGTTATCAATCAGGTCCACAACTGGATGGAAGACGACCAAGATGAGAATAGCATACAGAAATCCAGCAATAACATCCTGTTGAAAGAGAGAAAGATATGGTTTCAGTGTAATAACTTACAAAATAATTAAAGTTACATTCACATGGGGACAAACCTCATTACTCTGCTGCAAAAAGCAACTTGCAGATTCCCATATTTTCTCACCTACTGTACAAGATTAAATCTTTTTTATTAATGAATTGCATTTGATCACCTATTAACAGGAAATCTGCATCATGATCAGATCATGAACGATCATGATCATGCATGAAGCTATCATCAAATGACCCATGATAAATGAAGTTGTAGATCTACCTATCTGCTGGCTACAGTGGTCATTCCAGCCTACAGTCAGCACAAAGCTAGCCCAGCTAAGTAAGTTCTGCCAACTTTGTTTGCTGGAACAGCTCAACACTGGATCTAAGTGCCTGGGTGCCAACACAGCTGATAGGCAGTCGAGAACCACTGCAGCTAGGCATTAGGGCAGCTTCCACTTTCCACTCCAGCTTCAGAATTAACAATACCGCAAGAATGGAGAACTGGTTCCAACTACTAAAGGAGAGGCAGAGGTAACTTCTATGGCTTCATACCCGACCTTCAATTTTATTCTTGTTTTAAAAATGCCTTTCCTTAATTAAAGGTTAGTCTAATTATTTTTATATTGATCATTACATTTCAGTTACCATTGATTATTCACTCAGATGCATAGAATTACCTGCAACTTTAGTCACCCTTAGCTGTTAAGAAGGAATTTGTTGAAAGCTTTTTAGAAATCCAAGTGCTAGAAACCGGATCACCTTCATTCACATGCTTATCAACTTTTCCATATGAGCCAGGAGGTAGGACTTTTGTCAGCAGTATTTATATTGCTCCATCTTCAATGAATCATTTTTATTCACTTCCACTAACTGAACGCTTGATAAAAGCTGTAATACAACTGACTGATATGAAAGTCAGACTTGCTTATTTCAGAAGCAACCACAACAACCTTCTGCCGTATTTGCCACCCTACCCACCCTCATCTTAGGCACCATGGTTGATTTCTATTACAGGTAACACATGGTTAATTGTATTCACTCAAATACTACAGAGAATTCAGAGATGAAACTGCTGAATAACAACTAGGTTCATGATGCATCGCTATTTGTTGCACGACTTTGTTCTAAGACATTACCTGTCAGCTGACATTGTCAGTTGAAATGTCAGTTCATTCCCTCATCCTCCACACAAGTGGTTCTGACCTGGGGAGACTCCTAATCACTAAGGCAAATATGTCAATTCAGCTTTTCTGAGCTGCCCGATCTTCACATGCTTCTTTTATGCTGTGTTCATCTACCAGCTTTACTACTCACTACCAGGCTTAGCATTTTCAGTCTAAAACTAAAGTCTTAGCTTTTCTCCTTCTAGCAAGTGATTCTCAAAAACCTCCTTAGCCATCCCTATTAGTGGTCTTACATTCTGATTACCATTTTGTAGTGTTCCTGTTTTCCCATTTTACACTACATGCATTTGTGTTTCAGTTTGATTTTTTTTGGAATCCATTTTAATAAATCAGCCTGTTTTTCAAAGATGACAACTTTGTTTTTTGGTTCTTTAGAAACCTTGGTAAGTGAAGCCCTAGCATTTAGCATGGCACTCTGAAACGCACATGCTTTGAGTAGCTGACATGGAACCCAAGTGGACATTAACAGCCACATTCTCATCCTGCAAAATTATTTCTACTCTACAGAGGAAAAGTTAGCCTACTCTTTAGTACAGTCATCAATTTCTGCACTAAAACATGAGCTAACTCTCAACTGTGGACTGAGTTAATGAAAGAAGAATATTGGATTGACATCTACTTTTAGCTATTGTAGCAATTTCTCTGCTACAGAAGTGTAAAGTATTCTGTTCCTATATTGTAGGACCATCTAAAAAAGTCTATATACAATTACCGCACTGTAAAAACTTAAGTGTGATGGAAGTTTATGAAATCAGAACATTATAATAAAAGTTCAGTAGGATTATTTTCTTACCAAAATTGAATGCATTCCCATATAAATTCGACTACAGCAAACCAAAGAACACCAGCAGAATGCAAGGATCAGTCCAAAGATAAGGGGATACTGGTAGGGAAAAAATGGAAAAATTGTATTAGAATTTGGAATAAATAAGTTAAAAAGATCACTCTATAAGAATTCTATAATTAATTCCAATTAATGCAGCTTATGCTTACCCTTTTCCTTGCTCTAGTCTACCCAACCCTATTAGACCACGTCAAGTAAGTCCCCTTTTCAGAAAGTCGAAACATTATTAAGTCAAACTTATTCAACTTTTTCCTTGTCCTCTTCCTTTGCTTTCAAGATATATGAATTTCAGGGCATTGGTCATATCTTTTCAGACAAAGTAGTAAGAAGTTAATAGATCTTTGTAACAGTTAGTCTTGCCATGCTATGGTATCCTAAATTAGCAATATGGGCAGAGACAAGCCTTGTGTTATAAACTGTGGAACAGTTTTACACTGAGTGAAGCAGCTATGTAATACACCAGTATTGTTAACAATTATCCAGGTGGAATCTGGTAGCTTCACCTTTCCCCTGAAAAGGAAGATCTCATAATAATTTACAGATAAATTCAATTGCCTACACACTGTTTTAGAGTTTCTGCAATCCTTGACTCAACTCTGAGCATCAGTAGCAAACTCCTAGAATAGCAATCTTTTTTGTTCTCTACAAACCCGTATAAATTTCCTACTACAACTCATGTTTAAACAAAAAAAACATTAAGTAATTATTTCCATCTTCTGGTAGAAGAATTTTTTATTAAGAAGGACTGTTTACTAGGAACAAAATACTTTGTTTTAGTAAGCATATATCAGCACATGTAGAATTTTAACTTTTTTAGGTTTTGAATTAAAGTATGCTAATTCATATCTTGCAGCACGGTAAGAAATACTTTCCTCACTACCATATTGCAAAATGCTGTACAAGACAGGATACAGCTTCCTTTTTTTAGTATTAAAAATAATTATTAGTTCTACAAAAGAAGCAGTCACAAGACAAAATGGCATGTTTCCAAAACTGCTTCGTTTCCTTCATGAAAGCAATGATAAACATTTTCAATATAAACAGGCAGTCTACATGTACTCCAATCTCAGAATAAAAACTAAGGATTACAGGCACCTGAAGGGTAGAATATCCAACAAATAAATAAAGTATCTTTAATCTTATTGGAGAAAGTTGTATGCCTTCTGTGAACGCCACTTAACAGACCGGCAAGCTTCTAAATCAGTCTTTCAATGAAAGGTTTAAGAAAAAATTATCAGTATTCTGCATTATTCCAATACTCTCTGAATTCTTTCTCCAGGACCATGTTAACATGAAAAACCTAAAAAAAAAATAATTCTCAAACTAATAGAAAACTGGGAAGCTTACATTTCACATAAGAAACAGATTTCTCATTACTATCAATTCCAAGTGCCCAGCTCATAGTTGTGTTACATCTAGTAACACATCCAATTCCTGCAGCATTTGTCTTTTTGTTTCTACTACATTCATCTACAAACTGTACCTAAGCAAAATTATGTACTTAGTGATTCATTTCTAACTGAAATGATGAAGGAACAAATTCAGTTTCCTCCCTTTCAGAATTATGCTAATAGTGGGCAATATACCAGTAACTAGGTCGTACTCAAGACACGACTGCAGAGTTATCAGCTGCTGACACTGTTAATAGCAGCCACAAAAGCAATCCTTGCACCCAGTGTTGCACCACCAGAGCACATTACAAGGGTAGCCCCATCACTCATCCCCACTATGCCTCCACCATCATTTCCATGGATCTCAGTGTAGATGTAATGCTGCCTGCACCAGGAAGACACTCAGGCCACAGTGTCTCCCTGCCTGCTGCAGCTCCACTTTTCCCCCAGAGGACTACCAAAGCAGAAATACATAGGAATAGGTGTACCCTATATCCTCTGAAGTAAAAAGGAGCTTCTAGCACCTCTTTACATGCTCCACAAGATGAAAGCCTGGGAAGACAAGACTTCTTGTTTGCCAGAGACTAGCAATGAGAACCCCTTGACCAGAATATGTAATAGCATCACAATTACTTGGTGGGAGAACGAGCTTGCATGTGTTCATGCATGTGTCAAACGTTTCAAACAATTTTACCCATCACTTCACACTGTCTGTCCTTTCTTGTTTCCTGGAACACATCTTTTGTGCTTTCAGGGTCCTGTCAGGGGTAAGGTTTTTTTTTTTTTTCTATTAAAGACTTTTCCTGTGTTTCTGAAACGCCTGATGGAAACAGAAGCTGGAGCTTTAGCAGGAAGACCAATGAAGTGCCAGGCTCAGCAGGCTATAGCAGCTAATGATACTGTGGGTAAGAAGTTGGGATTGTGGGGGAGATGTGCTAAACAGCAAGACCCTAAGAATAAGGAGTATGAAGGAGAATATGTATGTGAGAAATCTGGTTTTAAGAGTCCTGGGCAGGTCATCATAAACTGCAGGGAGAATAGGAGAAATTCTGGAAATGAAAATAAATGCTTGCTCTTAGTTAGGAACTCTCAAGGGAGGGGTGTTTGGGGAAGAAAGAAACTGTGTCACAAACTCCAGCTTTCCTGTAAACATTGATTACGAGACACTGGTTGCCCAGTAGTGCTTACACTAGTCAAGGACTTTTCACCTTCTCATGCTCTGCCAGCAAGAAAAGCTGGGAAGGGGCACAGCCAGGACAGCTGACCCAAATGGATATTCCATACCATATGATGCCATGCTCAGTATATAAACTGGGGGAAGTTCCTTTCCTTTTCTATCCTATTAAATTGTCTTTATCTCAACCCATGAGTTTTACTTCTCCCAGCCCCCCTCCCCCTTTTTTCCAATTCTTTTCCCACTGAGGAGGGGGGCAGTGAGTGCACATCTGTGTGGTGTTCAGCTGCCTGCCGGGTTAAACCAAACCACCAGTCCACTATAAAAAAGCAGGAGATTGAAACAATTATTCTATTTGCCTCCGGAAAAATATTCCACAACACAACAGTTAAGTCAATTTTTGTGATTAGTTCCCACACAAAGCATTCTCCTCTGTGCTCCCAACTGTTACATACCTCCACACTTGGACAACTGTTGGTTTATCTAAACTGACAGTTTTACTGACTGATAAGGAAACTTCAAACATAGACATCTTTGTGTCTAAGTTACAGGAATAAATTTGGACCTAAAGAAGGTTTTAACCTTCATCTGTCCTGGTTTCTTCCAATGTTATATCCATACCTCCCCGCATTGCCCATATGAGATGAGATTTTCTTCCCACCACCCCAGAACCCACCTGCAGAGCACCATAAAGCCCTGTGTACCCTTTGGGGATCCATATTTCACTGGCCTCTGTAGACAGTAGTAGAAATCAAGCAGAACAACCCCCCAGCTTCAACACAAATAACACGCAATACCCTGCCTCCTCCTTGGCCTGTTTTCACACATACCTTTTAAAAAGAGCCACTGGGTTCAAGAGTTCCTAGAACACCAAACTGGTAGTACCTGCTTAAAATCTGCCTTGAGGTGATAAGGCAACCACGTATTTTGTCCTCACATGTAGGGATAAGTTTACAAGGTGACTAAAGGAGAACATTAACACTCCCACACACCTTGTAGCTCAGCAAGAAGACTGCTCAGCAGCATGCCAAGTCCTAACACCAACAAGGGACATCACCTTGATGCTTATAAAAGAAGATGATGCTATAAATTTACTTCCAAATTATTGTCTGAAAATAACACAATATTGATGTACTAGCAAGCATTTTCTAAATGTTGTTTCATCTAGAAAATGACTGCCTGTATGTATTTTGCATATATACATTGGTTGTACCATTGTCACAAGTATCAGTAACCTCCCACCGCCTGGGCATATGAAATCCCCCCCTTCCCCCCCCCCACCCCAAATACCAAAATGTCTTCTACTTCTATAGTGCCTTAAGACTATTAACATTTGTTATCATCCCTGCTTTACAATAAATAGTGGATTTCACAAAGCTTCTCTCCCAATCACAAATGAATCTTCAACAAAAAAACCTAAACAGTCTTCACTGTTTTCTACTTAAAATAGGCACATCTTATGAAAGATTAGATTATATTGAAGTTTTCACATTAATCTCAAGTGTTCATGGAAGAAAGCCATAACCCCGCATTTTTTGGATGTTTGCTTGGGTCTCTTATTTTGGAAAATACTGCATTCACAAATTCAAAAATTAGCAGTTCTCAATTACCTTTGAGTTATAAACTTTTAGATCTTTTCCTTATAGTTCTATATGGACACACTGACAGTCTCTACTTAAATGAAAGATATTAAAGCAAGACTCCTTAGTCCCAGACTAAAGTCCCATGGTTCCTCACATGCCAAATCACACCTATAGAGGCACAAAGGAAAAAAGATCACAAGTTCACTTCTCAGTTCATTGCTATTCTTACTCATTCAGGCTTCAGAAGGCGAACTGGCATCATATCTCCTTTCAGATGAGGGTCTGAAAGATTGTCAAAGATCACACAGCTGGCAGACATATAGATAAAAAACAGGTTTCGTTCTCTCAGCTTGTTCCTCCTGATAACAGAATTGGCGTATCTTCATTCTTGACCATACTCTGAGTCACTTCAGAGTCAGATATCCAGGATCAGCCCATTTTAGAGACAAACATCTCAAACCCTGCCTCCATGCCCTCAATTAAGACCATCCTATGTACATCCTCAAAAACTCATTATGCCTCCCATAGCTACCATGCCATCTTAACAACAAGTATGGGGAGTATTTACTGAACTGCATACTGCTTTCTTTTTTCTAAATTAAAAAAAACCCAACAACTTGCAATGTGAAAATCATACCCTTATGCAAACATAAGACACTTCCATAGTACTCAATCTGAACTTCAAAACCACATATTGACTGAAAATCAACATTAACCTGGCCTTTGTTCTCCTTGAGGAGAGTACCCCACATTCCATATTAGATCAAATCACTGATATCCAGCTTGCACAAATATTTTTCCAAAGGCCAGAATAAAACTTTGACAATATGCATAAGCATGTAGTACAAATACAATATTAGAAGGTGAGGTGGAGGCAGATGGAATTGACAGCAAGGCAGAGACTGGAAATAGAGACAAAGGCAACATATAGATTAAAAAGATACCTTTGTTGACATTTTGGCTTTTAAATGTTGATGAATGTTTCTTTGAAGACATCATATCCATTAAGAAAAGTGTCCCAGTCTTGATGTATGTGACTAAGGGACAGATCACCAAGCATGTTATTTAAAAAAAAAAAAAAAAAAAAAAAAGAGAGGATAAAAAAGGTTAATTGATTTCTTCAATTCACATATTAAGTTAAAGAAAAAGCTAGGAATAAAGCTGATTGAGTAGACTACTCATCTTCTCTCAGGCCTCAATTTTGTTCCCATATCCAGAATCTTGCTTTAATCAATTAAATTGAATTAAATTGGTCCTATTTGGAAAATAGCAGTGAAACTACTCCCAGTAAGTCTTTGAGAATTTTATGCCCTACACATTTTTTTATGGAAAATTCCTACTTTATTTGATTACATCCTCCAAAACGCGCTTACAAGCTTTGACCAGATCACATAGAAAACGTTTCCCTCAGTGCCTATCCTCCTCCCTCTCCTTAATCTGACTTTTTGCCAAGAGTCTTAATAACATAACCATTGTTTAAAAATGCTTGTAAGGAAACAATCTGTCCTAAATGCTTTGACCTAGGTCAGAAAATGCCTTCTTTCATAATGGAACATTCTTAAAACACACTCTAGATAGTAATTTCTTTCCTTTTTTAAAGCACATTCTACACCAGAGAAATTTCTAGCATCCACAAAGGGTTCCAAACTGATTTTCTAATATTTTCAGTGTTCTCCAGTATTATTCAATGGGGTTTTTTTTAATCATGTAACAACTCAGAAGTTCGGCTTGAGTTTGAGACAATTATTTTGGGCCAGAGTTCACTGAAAGAATCGAAGAAGCACTTGCAGCATCATGCTTTTAATAAAGTATTTGGGCTATGTATTGGCAATAGTCATACGAAAAGCTACAGTCATTCCTGTAAACATTGATTATGAGACACTGCTTGGCCAGATGAGTACAAAAAGCACAGCACATGAATCGTTTTCTGGAGGGAGCAGAAGGGAAGAGACAATGCTTAAAAAGGAAAGATCACTTACGAGTCATTTTAGGAAAAATAAACAGACAAAAACCTGTCTTTTCAATAAGAGGCCAAGTGGTAAACAACACTGGTTAAGCAACCTTTATCACTTATTTCCTTCTGTCTTCCACTGACCAACCTTAACATCAAAAAGCATTTGAGAGTTACAAGAACCCCTTCTTTAAATGCCAAGATAAAGATTTCAATGCCAGCCATCCAAGGAGTTAAAAGGTTTAATCTTCTGCTACACATCATCTGAAAAGAAATTAAAGAGTTACAACAGGAATCAGAGCCTGTTACTTCTTTTCCTTGCAGTCATTACAAAAAAAAAAAAAAAGAAATCCCTCCCTGAACACACCCAGCAAGAATCTCCTATAGCTTGCTCTGCTTATGCCCCCAAGACCTAAAAAATGTTTTTTTCGGCAAACTGAAGTTTTTTCAGGTTTAATCAACACACCCTATTTGAAAGTATGAGGAGTGCTTTACATGTGTACAGTCCACTCAGAAAAAAAATTCCTTGAGAAGTAAAGTATTTCCTTTGAATCCTTTCGTCATCAACAACTCTGCATCTAACCTTACAGCATTTAAAGATTTGCTTATGCAAAACTGAAAAATACATTTAACGCCAATCAACATGGTTTCATAGGACAGGCTGCTGCATTCCTCTAGCAGAGATTCCCCAATGGAATTTGCAAGAACTGGCTATGCTCTTTGCAAACTCTTAAGAGCATCTGAATCAAACAGGCCACACAACTTTCTCCAGCTTCCTTTACAAATAAACAACAGGCATTAATGTGGCCCACAAAATAAGACCTTACAACTTGGATACATAAGACAAGGCCAGCATTGTTGACCCTCCAAATTCCCATCTCTCTTTCTCAAGAGCTCTTCATTGTGTGGGCAATTCTGGGTTTTCAGATCATCCCTTCAGCTACGCTTCTCACATCATTGTTTGACTGTTTATTTCAAGAAACACATGTAAGAAAACCAGTTAGACAAGCACGCATCTCTTTGCCTAAGTTTCTTCCCAACATTTTACTATTTCAGCCAAAATCCATTTGCGCTTTCTCGGAGATGAGGCGTCTCTTTCTGAAAGGAGTCTGTACTTGGGCTTATACGCAGACTTTGTATATAAGAGATGGCCTCCTAGCGTAGCTTCCAGTTTTATCATTACATCAGTCCTACTGATAATGCAAGCCCTTCAACAAGGACAGACACTTAAAACTAAAATTTGCCCACTTTATGTAAAATTCTTACTACAGCCGTGTCATGATTAGACTATTCATCCAATCCCAATAGCCAATTATTCCCCATTCCCAGTGGGGATCTGAGGGAAGTTAGCCTTTCGAAATGAAAGAGCAGGCAGACAATTCCAGAAGTAATGTTTAGTAGTGGTCAATCAGAATTACAGAACAACACAGATCTCTCTGAAATCCCAATACACATCCTGTCAAACCCATCTCATTTGATTAGATTAATCAGCTTTGGTTGATAAAAGTAATGATGTGGATGGAAAATTTCTGAAAGGGTGCTTGACATGGTACCACACAACATTCTTACATGATTTGTACTACAGAAAGTCAGGAGAGCACTAAGTAAATTAAAATTGAAAAATACTTTTAGGTGTGTCAATCAAATAAACCATTACAGAATAAATGCACTCTACTGCAGGTTTAGCAGTAGTGCTTATTAAGGTCGCCATTATCATCAGCGTTGTGGAAAGACAGTCACTGGTGATAGGATTTGCATATAAAACATTGGCAGACAAGTACATAAGGAGGAAAATGCTGTCGTATTTAGTGATCTAAGCTGCTTCAGAAAATAAGCCCATTCAAACAACATTAATTATATCAACTTAACGAAGTTCGTTCAATGGCCTACAGTGAGAGTCAGCAGTTCCTGACTCAGCTCATTAATGCAGAGCTCGGGAAGGAGTGCGAACCCATCACTTCCTAGTCCAGACAACTGCATCCCGCAGGAACTCTGGGAGAAAAGCGTATTTTCTGTCTCCCTCACCGATTATTTTTTTTCCCCTCCTCGAAATAAACCAGCAGGACTATGACATATTCAGGTACCATCCTAACTCAAGCACCATTTCTAATAAAATATGCGATGGTATCCATTTGAAATCAGCAGTTCAAAGAAATGAAATAAAAGATTAAAAAAAAAAAAAAAGACTTTTTCCAGTAGTCTCAGCCTGAGGCTTTGGGGATTTTGTAGATAATTAGCAGTTCACACTCTCTCTTCCTCCCCGTTCAGGACACTACATAAGTCAGCCCGGCTCAAACTGTCAATATTCCAAAGAAAACAGGTTTTCCCCAATGTGATAAAGGTATACTTTTTCCTCAATGTCTTTTAACTGTCTGTCCTCTTTCAGAGTATCAGAGCTTCAAAGAAAGAAAGAAAGAAAAAAAAAAACAAACCAACATCTTTAACACTCCTAAATTCTCATGAGTCTTTTGGCATGAGCTTTGTATTTCAAGGTTACTGAAGTATCTTTGAAACAAATGGGTTTCCCTGCTGAGATTTAACAATATTAAATAAATATATAAGGATTACGTAAGTTGAATCAAAAGTTTCAGGCAAGCTCTCATAATACAAGGAGAAATTGAAAAATTACATTCCACAATGGACAGAACAGTTAACTTACGAAAATTATCTTAACATGTAATTTGTTTCTGTCTGAAATTTGGTTGCATTGAATATTCCCTATGTCCAAAGTCTCTGAGAAAATTTGTCACAAATGTCTTTAAAAAACATCACCTCTGAAAATATTTTACTTGAACACTTGCATTTATAAGCAAATATTTTTACTATGCATAGTCAAAAATGCTTTTGAATACAAGTGAAAGGAAAATAATTGTAATAGGATTACTAATACGCATTGAAAACTAGGAAAGCACAAACTTAATTCAACAGGTTAAAAGAAAATCTACTGGAATTAAAAAAAATTGGTTTTAAATGGACAATTTGGGCCATACCTAGGAAAATAAAAGCAGATTTGCTCTTTTCTCTACGTTGTTCAAGGGAAAGACTCAGATTGTCTTTGTTTGATACAAAAGAACTATTACACAATACTAGGAAGTCATAGTCCAATGAAAGCAAACTCCAAATAAGCTATACAGTGAAGTGACTCCTTTCTCACTGGAGTAATCCCTTTTAGAGCAAGAGTGGCTTTCTTTGGTTTATCATAAACTTCAAAGTGACAAACTCAATTAGAGTTACCTGTATTCCAGAATAAAAGTCCCTGCAGATAGTTATAGCTGTATCTGCTTAAATTGACACTCAGTCTTGCTCCACAGTGATTTTTCTGAACAATCCTAAGATGTGGACTCATCACAATCACTTACTGTGTAATGCTTGCTTATACTGAATATATAGAAAGACTGGACCCCGACATTTGCCAACAAGTTTAAATCTATCTGTATCTACTGACAAATATGCATAATGTAATAAAAATCAGATTTATTATAAGGGCCTTTATCATTAATAGCTTTCCAAGAAGTTCCAAGGTCAGTCTTTTTTAACCCCATCTATTTCCAGAAAAGCATGACAAAAAGTTGACATACAGTTTCTACTCCCTTTCAATGCAAGTAAAATATGGAGAACAGCAGAAGCATCAGATGTAAGCTTAACTCACTTTAGAGGTGAATCAAAAGGTATTCGACATGCCATAAGTTAACTTTTGAGTAATATTTGGAAATAATTTACAAATCAGAATGGTGGGGGGTTTAAAATTAACATTTTGAAATGGTAGAAGTCTGTTTCAGAGAGGTCTGTTATTCATACCCATTTCATGGGAAAAAGGAATTAAAATGAAGGCTCAAACACTTTGCTTCCTCATTTCTTAAGCATGGTTCTAAATGAATAATAACAGGCTGAATGCTTATGATTTCTTAATATGCATTCATTATAAACATGTTTAGTCAATTAGCACAGTATTTCACAGACTGCCGTTGCAGGGTTGGCAAACTGAAGATCGAACTTGGTTCTGGCAAAAATACTATTTCACACATTGTCAGTTTGCTGGTTCTATAAAGGCAATCAAGCTGGGTTCTCCTTGGTACACATGACATCAGTCTGTACAAAACTAATCAACTGATACTACTAAATGAGGTTTCCCCACATGCAAAGAAATACAAGTCTAGTTTATTCTTCAACTGACATCAGCCCCACACATCTAACAAGTAATAATGAAATATTCAGATTGCAGTCAGTCATTTAAAAAGAGAAATTTTTGTGACAGAACTCCAAATATTTATTTTAAACACCCACAAAACATGACATTATCTGATGCCTGCACAACTCTAGCAGAGTGCTACTTCACATTTTCCCAGCAAAGAATATGAATCCCTAATAGCTTTCTTCTGGGCACGCTGTATCACCTTGCAAAATTAGATACATAAACTTTGGTTAAAAAGAGGCCAAATACAATCTCTGACCTTCAACTGTTTATTTCCTTTCAGGCACACCATATGCTGAGATAAAGCCACAAAGTGTCACACTGTGACAGCAGACAACGGCAAGATGATGTACATCTCACTTAAAATAGGCAGGTGTTGTAACAAGAATTTGTAAACATTAACAACTTAAGAGTAGACTTATTGCATAACTTCTTGAACATTCCACACAGAGCCCTCAAAACCCTACACTAAACATTTGTTGCCTGGGAAAGCCTTCTCCCTCATTTACTACTGGAACTGGTGCAGTGATTGAGAGAACTGAATACATGTTGTGCTTTCTTCGGAGTTCTTACTGTTGTCCATACTGCTAGCAGCAAGCGCCAAAGCACGTGCCACAGCTTGCGTAAACCAGATGATGAACAGTGTTACTTTAACTTAATCTATTGACCTGAAATGCAATGGGCAGATCCTATCAGTTCCTGCTAATTATTAGCACATTAATAGTTGTAAAACCATCTGAAAGTATATGTACTCCTCAAAACAGAAATAATATTTTCCAGTTTACAGCTAATGAAACTAAAAGACAGCGTTAAAGAAAAGGCTAAAGCTACAAACTGACTCAAGCTACAAAGTGACTCAAAGCAGCTTTAAGAAGGATCAACAAAAAGCCCTTTAGTTCCTGGCTCTCCACCAAATTCCCAGTCAATAAAACCAAACGCCTGTAATAATATCGGATACCTATCCAAACTTTGTGCAAAGCACTCGCCCTACAAGAAATAAGTTGGGGAAAAAAACTCCCAAGAACAAAATACAGATTGTTAAAGCAGGCTTTTACTGTGTACTGAGCTAACCATTCATAAATTCAGCAGAGCTTCCATTCAGAAGACGGAATTATTATAACAGTTCTTGCTACCTGAACACTCGCCTAGATCGTAGAAAAAATAAAGGGGGGCGTAGCTGAGCAGCAGGAGCGCCAGTGGGATGGCGGTGCCCGACATGGCGTGGGTGGAGGGCATGCTGTACTCGGAGTTGTAGAAGACTTCCAGCTTCACCACGGGCGGGGAGGCAGGCCGCGGCCAGCGGATGACATCCTTGGTGCACTGCCCCAGGTACATCACCCACACCCAGATGATGATAAGCCTCCGGCCCAGCCAGGCGTCCAAGTTCCAGATGCAGAAGGGGAAGAAGAGGATGTAGAAGAGCTCGTTGCCCAGCTCCGTGCCCAGGCTGAAGAGGTAGTAGAGGAAGCGGCTGCGGGTGGAGAACTCCTGGCTGCCGTCCTCCTCCGTGAGCGAGTTGCGGCGCGGCCTCCTCCTCCACCGCTGCGGG